TCCAGGGGAGACTCCGCTTCCTTCCTCCACCACTCCTCTGCACAGAGGGGTTCTGCAGATGTGGAACGATGGATGGCCGCCTCTTCAGGCAGCAGGAGGGCCGAGGGAAAATCAGCCTGCTCTCGTGGCCAGGTGCTGAGCCTCCACTACCTTGAGGGCATGGCAGATCTGTGTGGGGAGGACGCAGCGAGACTCAGGCACCAACTACACAGTCCCCAGTATGTCCTACAGCCACCTTCCCATGCCACAGACATGGCTACAAATGAATCGGACATCTATGTAAAAGCTTCAGGTCACGGTGCCTTTCTCAGTAAATGGGTACGGAGACAGCCGGAGTGCAGAGGCATCTGTGAAATGTGACACACAATCTTTGGGAATAAATATTTTTAAGAAAGTAGAAGAAAACATCTTCATGACATAGGACTAGGCAGGGATTTACTTAATTAATTTAATGTAATTGTCAAAGGGTGTGTGTACTTGCCAGAGAGACAAAGACAGAGAGAAGAAGAGGGAGCAAGCATCTCCAGCAGGGTGTGGTCACTCCGAACCCTTCTCCACTTCTCCACCGTGCCAGGACTCGGGCAGGCCCGGCACAGGCACCCTGTGTGCTTCTTAAGCTGCCAGGGCTGGGAACGAAATGGTGCAGCCGGCCACGAGGGATCTGACTCCCTAACCATTGCTGGCCCAGCAATGATTTCTTTTTTTTTTGGAGAGGTTTTTGCTATAGGGCGCGTGCGCTCGCCAGACAGACAGAGACAGAGAGATAGAAAGCAGGAAATCACCCCCCAGGGGGGATGGCCACACCGCAATCCCTTCTCCTCTCGGGATCTTGGGCACGCACGCACACGCGCCCAGCGTGAGTTTAAGCCACCGGGTCCGGGACTCGAACCGCGATCGACTACGTGGGAGTCCAGCGACATAGCCATTACACTAACTGCTGGTCCCATCCAGCAATGATTTCTTAAACAGTAACCAAAAGCCTTTATGCTCACAATAAAGAAAAATAAGGGTAAATTGATCAGAAACTTGAGCTCATCAAAGGAGTTCATTTGAAAATGAAGTCAAGCCACAGAACAGGAGATATCTGCAGGACGCAGAGCCAACGAGGCACTCGTACCCGGAACGAAGAACAGCAAAGCCCTCAGGAGGGGCAGGCGACCGGTAGGAAAGACGGTGAGGGAATTAAGAGACACTTCCCGAGAAGGTATCAGACGTCAGTAGATATGCAGAGAGGGGCTCAGCTTCACCAGCTGTCACAGAAATGCAGATCACTGCCTGCCCAGCAGAAACGAGAGACTGACCGGTGTGGGTGTCAACCAGTGTCACCGCCACTCTGAGAACTGGCAATAAAGGCGTACAGAACACATGCAAACCCAGTGACCCGGCATTTCCTCTCCTGGGTATAAATTCACAAAACAAAAACGTGTACAGATGTTCACCAAAAGATACTGCTAGACTGTTCCCGCAGTGCTATCTGTAACTGGAGCTGGACACGACCACCTAAAAGCCTATCAACAGCAGATGGGTAATCACCTGTGGCTTGTCTCTGCTCCCCTCCCAAAACCAGCCCCTGCCACACACACGTGCGCATGCACACCGGTCACAGACTGTAGTGTTCACAGCCATATGCAATGGCACAACGGTCTCAACACATGGTACGCACAAGAACAGCCAGACACGAACGAATACCGAGAGAGAGTGAGTTAAAGATACACACGAAAAAATGAACAGTATGAGATATATGTAAAACAGAAATGGGCAAAACCCATGTGAAGAGCCAGCACAAGAGGATAGGCAGCCGTGGGCACTTGCTGAACTCCACACTCTGTCACAGCACTCCCTGTGCTGGGCACCACGCTCACACACGGCCCCAGCATGCAAGGCTCAGTAAACTCTGGTTCCATTGCTCTCCATCTTTCTTATCTTTGTGAGCATATGCTCTTTGATTTCCATAATTAAAGTGAGTACATACACTTTTTAAAATAAAGGTTTTTTGTTGTTGTTGCCAGAAGGTACATGCATGTGTGCAAGAGAGAAGCAGAAAGACAAAGAGAAAGCATGTCTTAATAGGGCACTGCCTCCATTCCTTCTTTCTGACAGGATTTTGGACATGCTTGCAAATCCATGCTGCCAGGTCTCAGATTCGAACCACGGTTGTACATGTGGGATTCAGCTCCCTTAACTGCTGAGCTATGGGACTGACTCATATATACTAGTTTTTATATAAGAATTTCTACTGTTGGCAGAGTTTACTACCTTCACTACTTCCCCTTTTTGGGGGGTGATCGTGACAGTGTCTTGCTGTGTTGTGGACCCCTGCAGTAGCCTCCCAGGTTGCTGGGACCACAGGAGCATAACTGCCTGGCTTGTTCTGGTAGGCCAGAAATGGAACCCAGGCCTCCCATGTGGCCTCAGACTGCTGAGCAGCAGTGCCCAGTGTGCAAGGCAGGTGGGCCTGCCTTCCTGCTTCCAGTACTGGTTAAGTAAAGTACACTTCAAAAGAGAAGTGATTAGGGCCGGCAGGTGGTGTGGTAGTTAAGGGTGCTGGACTCCCACATGGCAGACCACGCGGTTCAAGTCCCTGGACCTGGTGGCTTGCTTTCTTACTTTCTCTCTCTCTTTCACTCTGTCCCTCTCTGGTCAAATAAAATAAATAAATAAAGATAAATAAAATAATTATTAGAAAAAGAGAGAGAAGTGATTAATCTGAACCCACGATAACACACACTTGGTTAGTTTAGCTTGAACTACGAAGATTCCCCACTGGGTACCTTTCAACAAAGCATCTAGGTACCTGCTTTTTACACCTGGGACAGCAATAAACTTCATGACCTTCAACACTAACAGGGACACAAAGAGGCTGGCCTAGACAGCACCCCAACAGTTTGCCAGTGGTACTGCACAGCAGGGGGGCTCCTTAGGCTGCAAAGATCTCTGAAGATATTTAGCTTGGTGGTTACATTTAAAAAATGGAATGTGTTACATTACAATTTCTGGTTTCGCTGAGAAAATCCAAAACATCAAAATCAAAATAAAATAAACATTAAAAAAAAAATGATCCAAACCACTGCAGCAATGGGTGCCCAGAGTCCCACATTCCAGACCTCAACGGACAAGCCGTGTGCCCTGCCAGCTCTCTGCACCCACCAGGGGGGCATCACGTCTGCTGGTTATCACAATCTCTCTGCTGCAAGGCTGCACCTCTGACTGCAGCCCACGTCCCCCAGGAGAGGCCATCCCCGACCACCTGCAGACGCTCTCGCACTTCACCCTAAATCATCCTCCTCATACTGCGTCTTATTATCTGAAATGCTCCTGCTTATGGTGCTCACTGCCTCCCTCAGTGGGATGTGTGCACCGGGAGGGTGAGGGCTGCGTCTGTCTTCGTCACGGCCATCTCCTCTGAGCCTGGAGCAGGCCCTAATACATATTTTGATGAATCTGAAGGAAATGAATTAGTGCAGACACAATCTGTAGAGGACCCCAGAGGTATGCAGCAGCCTCGCTCTCATCTAGTGTCATCACAATAACACTGTGGAAGGGGAGGGGGAGGGTGGGGAAAACGGTCTTACCTTTCACTGGCTTAGTATTCATTTTCAAGGGTTTCCTTACAGTGGAATTACACCTACGTTTCATTTCTCGTTATTTATTTTGTTCACTTGGATGACCTTGGATGACTAATTGAAGCACATTTAAATACAGAGAGTGGGAGAGACAGCGGCTTCCATGAGCTCGATGTCCTGCCCATTATCTGCTCAGCGGCTCGGTTAGTCACCAGGCCTGCTGTCATCAGGCAGCACCTCTCCAGCAATCACAACGTGGTATGGAAGCTGGTCCTGCCTCTTAGTCTGGAATCACATTTCACTGCGGGTAACATCAGGGATGAAACTCTCTAAGTAAGGCAGGAATTCTGACCAGAAGGTAATTGTTTTAAATTGCTCTGCACAAAGGAAACCCATCAGGCACAGAGATACTCACTAATTTCTATAAAGAGTTCATTTATGTTTATCGCGTTTTTTGCGCTGGTCTCTACAAAAATTGCATGAATGGAGTCGGCGTAGTCCTTAGCATCTCTCTCCATGACTTCTCTGGAAGGCAACAATTGCAAATCAGAAATTCTACCCATCAAGATCTTCATGTTCCCCCCACCTACCCAGCAATCAACCAGATTTATGATGACAGCGGACGTCCCGAATGGCTGCTGTGGGCCCTGATGTGTGGTGGTCTGTTATACCACTTCTGTGGTTAAACTCAGCACCTGCCAGCAACACAGCTATATGACGACCAGGGAATGGCAGGGTTCTCTCCCCTTCCCCCAAAAGCCCTTGCTTTGGGAGTCCTGGGAACGGTCCAGAGAAACTGCCAAAACGTACTTCTATGTTCGAGTTTCCATGTCACTGGACTATGTCACAGGAGCCCGGGGGCCGCCCTGACCTCAGACAATGCTGAGTGCGAAGCAGCCAATGTGTGAGCCAACTGCACACCTGTCTATGCACATGATACAATTACCCTAACTTCAGTTTGAGACTTTCGGCACCCGGTCACACAACAAAAGAATTTTTCAACGTCAGTGATAAAATAAAAGCAAGACTCTCATACTGGGTATTACTCACGAGGCAAACGAATGTGCAATCAGCTCTCTTTTCTTGCCCTTGTAACTTACCTGACGTCGATGAGATCGCACTTATTGCCCGCAATGGCGACCACGATGTTGGGCGGGCCGTGCTGTCGAAGCTCTTTCACCCAATTCTTCAGCGTTGAAAACGTCTCCTGTAACACAGAAGGGAGAGCGACTGGAGACCAGGCAGGCGAGAGGTCTCCGGATGTGGTACAGGAACCACGTGCGACCTTACCTCTTTGGTGATGTCGTAAACGATGATGGCTGCAGCGGACCCGCGGTAGTACATTGGTGCTAAGGCACGGAACTGCAGAGGGGAAAGAGAACAAAATGGGGAAGACTGGCTAAGTACGCTTTCTATTGGACTTTAAGCACACTGTCCTTGCATAGAAGGCAATCTTTCTCCTAAGCAAAAGATGACAACTTGGTGCCTTACAGCAAATGAGCCAGTAATTACCAGAGGCAAAAATTCTTAGTGGAACACTGGAACGTTTCTCAGAAGATAGTTTAGAATACCGTTTTATAAGAATTAAATATGGTGCTATAAACAACTGTTTCAGCTAAAAAGTCTTTTTAATTGAATTCAATGTGATAATTCTCAAATTCATTTGTGCAACAGTCCTTTAAACTTTGGCTTCTCAACTATCACGGAGATAAAAACGCTGTGATTAGCTCTCCGAAGTGGCTCCATGGGGATGTCCAAATGATAACTCCTGTAATCTAAGAGCTGGCTGTCCTACAGAAACGACTTCATTACATCCGCTGCTGGGATGGGCTTGCGACCCGCTTCCCTGCCACCTCCTGGCACGAGGCAATTCCCGAATGCTGGTGCTGCCTCATTCGCTTGCATGAAGGGAACTGATTGTGCAGCTCCTTCCACCCCTCCTCCTCCACCCCACAGGGAGCTAGAGGGGGAGAGGGAGAGGAACGCCCATTTAAATAGCAAGGGACTTAGTGGGCCATTTCTCCTGATGAGTGGGAGATGGAAAATGAGAAGCTCCTTCCCCAGTCAGCTGCAGCTCCTGGGCACCCTCCCTTCCCAGGGTGAAAAGCCTGACCACCAAACATGACGCTGATGTTTAAAGACAAGAATTACAACGACTCTAGGTCTTTGCCTCCAGCCCACCTCTGACGCCTAACTTCCATCTGCAAAGCGGCACTGCTATACGCATCTGCTGTTTCTGGTGGTTCCCCCAAACACAGGACTGAAATGCCACTGCAGGGGCACAAGCCACACCTGGACCGTGGCTCCTGTGCTCTAACACCTGTGAGCTTAACACCTCTGGCTCTGACAACTCAATCCAGTCGAGTTTCACAAAAGAAAGTGACACTAGAACTTGGAGTTCCAGGGACAGCACGTCTGGTGAGCACACCACTTTACCAGACCTGAGCACACCGCAGAGTGGTGAACCGAGCATAAGCCAGGAAAGGATGGGAGATGTCAAGCTAACTGCGGACCCAGAGAGCCACACACGAGACTTCCTGTCTTGGTGAGAAAAGCCCCTGCCTTTGGGGTGAAAGCCCTACCTTCCAATCCAACAACACACTGAGTTAGAGAGAGACGCTGAAAACAGATTGTATGCAAGAAAGCACTGCAGAAAGGGTGCTACGGACACAGCTGAAAAAGACTCCAACTGTTGGAAGGACTTCCACAGCTCACGAGAGAACACGAGACGGAAAGCCCACGAGAACGAGCGCTGGGGCCCTGACCTCCATTTCTGATGTCTTTGTGTTGGAGATGTCCTGTTCAGGTGGTGTTTTTCTCCTTTATTCAAATTTGTAAATGAAGATTCTTGTAGAGAAGAGCGAAGCTCTTAACTGTGCAAGCTGATAAACTGACAAGTGAATACATACCACCCACCAAGACATGGCCACGTCTCCCAGCACGGCGAGTTCCCACATAGCTCCTACCACATCCCTCTTTACCCTCAGCAATAAGCCTTGTCTTCAAGTCTATATTTTACTGATATTAATGTAACCACAACTGTTTTGTTTTGCTTATAAATGATATCTTTTTGCATTCTTTCATCTTCAATCTTTCTGTTTTTGTATCTAGATGACTGGCACGTGACAGCCACCATGTATCTGAGTCCTGCTTTTTCATACAGTTTGATTGTCTCTGTCTTGTTAGGTCCATCATTTTGCTGCTTTCATATCTGCTATTTCTGTTCGAATTCCTCTGTTCCTCCTTTCTTCTTCTGAACTATGTTTTAGCATTCAATTTTATAGATTAAGTTCTCTATTGGCTTTTTATTAATTTATTTCCAGTTTGCTATAGGGCACATATGCTCGCTGGAGAGAGACAGAGACAGAGAGAGAGAGAGAGAACGGTGCCCAGGGAGGATGACTCTACTGTAGTCACTCTCCTCTCGGGGTTTCTGAGCACACATGTACATGTGCCTGGTGTGTGTTTATAGCCGCTGGCTCCTGGAATTGAACTGTGCAACTGGCTACGTGGTTTCCAGTGGCCCTAACTACCACATCATCACCATGGCCCCAACTGCCTTTTTGCTTTACTTTTTGTATTACTTTCTAGGTAACAGTTCTTGCTAAGTGCAATATATATATTCACACAATCTAGAGTTTTCTTTTCTTTTTTTTTTTAAGAATTATTATTATTTCTTAATTTGACCAGAAAGAGACAGATGGCTGGGGGGAGGGAGTGAGAAATCAAGCTAGCTGTCAGGTCTGGGACTTGAAACACGATCAGCCACGGAGGAGAGTCCAGCACCTTAACCACCACGCCAATTACTATCCCCACCCTCAGCCTACAGTTTAAAATGCACCACTTTGTGTAAAATATCAGAACTTTACAAGAGTCTAATTGCTTTTACTGTACCGTCCTTTGTGCTATGGCAAATATTTTTAAATGTACATATACTATAAATTGTACAATCCAATGTGGTCATTTTAAAAAGAAACCAAACTTTACTTCCTCCATGAGAGCGCCAGAGGTCACACCCTTACGAACACTCTGATGCCACGCCCACTGTGGCGGTCAGCCCTGGATCATGGACGCAGATGTGCCCAGTGTGCCCAGGGAGGCCTTCGGGCGCCAAGTGGAAACCCTCCCTGGGGTTAGGCTCACAGGGCACCTTGCCTTACTGCTGCGCTGTTTTCTAGCCCCCAAGTTAAAAATGTTAAATTAGTCAGTTGTGTTCTAAACAAGTTCGGAAGAAAACAAGATTTTCATATTTACCACTCTTCGTGATTATTTGTTTCCAAGCATCTGAACTGCCATCTGGTGAACTTTCTCTTTAGCCTGAGAAACTTTCTGGGACTGCTGCTGATGAGTTTTCTGTTTTTGTTCTCAAAAGGTCATTTTGACATTGTATTTGAAAGACGATTTAGGCAGATTGAATTTTTTTTTGCTTTTAGAGCTTCATTTTTATTTTTTAATAGTCAGAGGGTATGTGTGCTTGCCAGAGAGACAGAGATAGGGAGAGAGAAGCACCCCAGCAGGGTGTGGTCATGCCACAATCCTGTATCTCCCCATCCTGCTGGGACTTCGGGTATGCATGTACATGCACCTGGTGTGTTTCTCAAGCATAGCCAGGACCTGAACTGTGGTCAGCCATGTGGGATCTAGACTACAGGGCCAGCCTAGCACTTTAAGAATACTGTTGGGCCAGCAGATAGTTATAGTACTAGACTCTCACATGGCTGACTGCGGCTCGAGTCCCAGATCCAGTGACTTGAGGATCATGCCTAGCATGTGTGTGTGCGCGCCCAAAATCTCAGTGGGGCAAACAGAGGAGAAGGGACTGTGGGTGGCTATCCCCCGCCCCCACCCCACCCCCCCGAGGTGATTTTTCATTTTCCCTCTGATTATTTCCCTCTGTCTCCTGTGAGCCCTATGGAAGAATCTTAAACTAAACAACTGTCACAACTGTCTCACTGGTTTCCGGTCTCCATTGTTTCTGTGAGAAGTCAGCCATCATTCATATGGTTGTTCCTTTATATATATGTGTGTGCTTGATCTGTGCTGACTTTCAAGATTCTCTGTCTTTGTTCCTTAGCAGATTATAATGTACCTAAGTGTGGTTTTCTGTATATTTGTAGATTTGCTAAATTTCCTAGATTTGTGAGAACTGATGCTTCACCAATTTGGGACCTTTTCAGTCATTCTTTTTTATTCATTTTTTAAATTTTGGTAGAGGGGGCATGTGCTTATCAGAGAGGAAGGGAGAGCAAGTGAGTGAGCGAGCGAGTGAGCGAGCGAGTGAGCGAGCGAGAGCAAGAACACAGAAGTGCAGTGGGGCCAGTGAGCAGCTGGTAAAAGAATTTACCAGAGGCAGAAATGTGAGAATTAGGTTTATTAGAACTCAGCCTTAATTATAGGGGAGGTAATGAAAATGGCAAGCTTGGATGGGGGCTGAGGGGGATGGCTGTTTATTAGGATGCAGAAGGTTAGTTGTAGGTGGCTCCAGACAGGGTAGAAATGTGTTTCCCTTGTTGCAAAAGCTTATCTATCTCTGGAGCTTTATCTTGGGCCCTTCTACTAGTTCTGGGTTTCTTACTTCCTTGGAAAGCTTATCTTGGGCCCTATTTATTAACCTGAGCAGCTTTTTTTCCTTAAGAACACTCCATGAGAGAGAGAGAAAGTGGGGGAAAGGGAGAAAGCACCCTCACAATGGGGGGATGGTCACGCTGCAATCTCTTCTCATCTTTCCTTTCGGGATTTTGGTTACATAAGTACATGTGCCTGGCATATTTCCCAAGTTGCTGGGACTGGGACTCAGAGTTCCATGTGGGATCCACCTGCTTTAACCACCATGCCATGGGGCTGGCCCCTCGCCATTATTTCTTGATCTATCTTTTTTAATGTCCTCATCTCTCTCTGTTTCTTCTGGTCTCCAATTACACATACGTTGGCTTTTTTGACTTTGTCCCTATGGTCCTGAGCTGGTTCAAGTTTCCTACTTTTCCCCTCTATTATTCGTAATTTGTCCTCTCACTCATCCAGTGAATTTTTTTTTGGAGAGGTTTTTTGCTATAGGGTGCGTGTGCTCCGCTCGCCAGACAGACAGAGAGAAACAGAGAGACAGAGAGCGAGAAATCACCCCCCAGGGGAGATGGCCACGCCACAATCCCTTCTCCTCCGTTCTCCTCTCGGGATCCTGGGCACGCACACGCGCCCGGCATGAGTTTTAAGTCACTGGGTCCAGGACGCGAACCACAGTCGACTACATGGGAGTCCAGCGACGTAGCCATTATTCTAACTGCTGGTTCCCATCCAGTGAATTTTAAAATCTTAAATATTATAGCTTTTACTTTTAACATTTTCATTTTATTATTAATTCCTAT